TCGTCATCCTCTTCTCGCGCACCTGACACTCATTTCCTCCTTTAATCCCTGTTTGATCATGGCTCATACGACAACCGGCCGGGTGTCGCACCGGAACTGCTCCGGCGGAGAAACACCTCCCAAAAGAAAAAAAGGTCCCCGGTTGTCCCGTTGGGAATGTCTCGGTGGCGAGTCGGGGTCCACCCCTTCTGGCTCGATATTCGGGCCCCTCTGAACCACTGCCCAACCCACTAAAGGTGGTCCAGGGGCCACAGGGACTGTTGGAGTCTCCACTGCAGGCCCTGGATAATTTGGACAGGGGCGGAGTAAGTTCCAGTGTAAAATCCGCTCTGGGCCCGACTTTCCCTCGGGGCAGATGGTATAAACCGGCTGGTCGGGACGTTGTTGGCATTGTACCACATAAGGCAGGGCCTCCCACTGATCACTAAGTTTGCCCTTTCCTTGGCGCCGACTGTCCCCTACCAAAACACCCAGATATTCTGGAAACGTTCCGTCGGTCGACCCAACGTCAGGAAGTCCATGGCCACGATGTGCAGAGGGGCCTTGGGCCGCATGGGGACCAGTGGGGCTCGCACCTCCTTTCTAACCTTAAAGAGCGTGCAACGCGGACATTTCTGAATGAACAAGTTCACGGATGTCTCCATCCCTGGCCAGTGGAAATAACTCTGCAACAGGGACACCGTCCTCTCCTGCCCTTGATGTCCCAACTGGGTGTGGTAAACCTGCAAAAGGGCCTGGATCTGACCCTCAGGTACCACCACCTGACACACAGCTTTGTGCGTCACTGGGTCTCGGATGGACAGACAGACCACCCCCTCTCTCAGACAGAGCCTCTCCCACTGCCCGAGGAGTTTTCTCACTGCCCGTGTCTGGGCCCGTCTTTCCGCCGCCTCAGGCCGTAACTCCTGTGCCAACCAGGACCGTATCACCATTAGACCAGCATCCTCTTTCTGCCGTTCCTTCCATCCCCACGGGTCCCAGCCCCAACTAGTGGGGGCTTCCTCTAGATGGGATCCAGGTGCTTCCATGACTCCTAACATGAGCTCCTCCTTGCGTCCAATAGAAGATACCGATGGAGGACCACGGGCCTCACCCTCAGGGAGTCTGGACAGCACATCGGCATTAGTGTGTTTCCGGCCCGGTCGATTCTGAAGTTGGTAGTCGTAGTTGGCCAGTTGCGCTACCCACCACTGTTCGACTGCCCCCAACTTGGCTGTCTGTAAGTGGACCAGAGTGTTACTACGAGTAACTTGGCTCCCCACAGGTAATCCTTAAACTTTTCACTCATGGCCCACTTCATGGCCAGCAGTTTGAGTTTAACCCTCTGGGGTCGGCCGTCGCGCCGACGCGACGAGCTCGATTTTTTCCTTATCAGTGCAAAAGAGAATCAAATTACTCTGTTGATTTTGATCTTACATATAAGTTTTGTGCTTTTCGCCAAATAAAGAAAAATAAACATGATGCGCGTTCTGCGTTCTCTCTGTCAGTGAAGTCCATTCTGAAACGCATCCGAAAAATGAACTGTAATTAAGTCAATACTTATCACAGAGATACGAGACATGTGTCTTTTTAAAGCTTGTATTCTCTTCTTTTAAATGAAGTAATTTATTAAAAAAATTAATATTTCCAGTTTATGTAATTCGTTTGAAACCAAGGAGAGGTACAGTTTTTTCGGTCTCAGTTCATTATCTTTAATTAGCTGAGGCCGCCACGCCCCCAGCACTTTTCACATGGTAAATAGGTGATCTAACGTTATGCATCGCACACGCCCAGCAGCGATCAATGGCATAAAACACCAAGTTTCTCCATCAGATTCACTGATAGTTCATTGCGTTTTGAAGATGGCACGCTACTCCTTCAGATGATTCTGGACAGCGAGGAAGGATTCACCTTTTCCTCAGAGGAAGATTGTAACTCCGACGACGAACGGCTGCATTTTAAAGAACGAATTGATCCCGCCGAGGATACAAGTTCGAAGTAAGTTGTTTAGTGTTTTATCATTTCTTTTCTGATCGTATAGAGTTCACATGAATTTTCAGACTATATTTTGCCTAGCTTTCGACATCTTACAGAAAAGATTGCCTCACAATATCCCTAACATTCGTGTATACGCTCGTGTAAACTTTTTTAATGTGATATTACTCTCTAAACATATTTGTATATTTAATATATATAGTTTTGATTAGCTTATGACACTAATTATCATGCTAGAATACTACCTTATGTTTAATTTATTTTGTTTGCGAATAACTGCTTAGGTTATATAATGATTTAGTGAAATAAATTTCAGCCTCCGGTAAAATATGTGATACGGTCTAAATACAATATATTATTTATGTATAAATGTTCAGTTAGGCTAACTGAAATAAAACCATGTCTATATTGTGAAGGGTAGTCAACTTTAGCCAGTGGTGGAATGTAACGAAGTACAAATACTTCGTTACTTTACTTAAGTACTTTTTTCACGTATCTGTACTTTACTTAAGTAGAATCAATAGTGCATACTTTTGACTTTTACTTCATTACATTTTACAGCAATTATTATACTTTCTACTCCACTACATTTCTACAGCATTCCGTAAAATTTTCGTTACGTTTTCTGATCAGTTTTTCCCCTGGCAAAACGTCTTCCTGACCGTCCGTCCGTCGCACATGACGTTTGTCTGGCCAATTTTGGTTGCCATAGATATGGGTTGCTACCATAGACTGTAAAAAAATAAACGATTCTAGAACGCTAATCTTAGTTTGACCCAATCAGAGCCCTATAACTAAGGCTCTGGACCCAATCAGGTATGATCCTTCAATCCAAAGATTCTAGAGCCCGGCCCCTTTCGCTTTTCCAACGGCCGCATAGTCTAATGTGGTCAGTCAGGTCACTGTGGGTGTGGTGCTTGCCCTTATCCGATGGAGTCTGAGCCCGAATCAATTAGCCACCCATGGCCGTATTTACGAGAATTATTCGAAATTACAGGATCAAAAAATGACTCGTGGAGGTTCCTATGTAAACTATGCCTGCCCCGAAAAAATGAGCTGCTGGCCTTCAAGAACTCTCCTTCAAATCTGTAGAAACATGTTGAGGTAAGCAATCTCGTTGCTGAGCAGAATCAATGTCATTTTCATTAAAAATGTTCTCCCATAAATCGCCACATTGACTTGATTGTGTAAGAATATTTTTTTTTTATACAAAAAATTTAATAATACATTAACGTTAGCTAGTACTATGACAGTTAATGTCCCCGCTGCTTTTGCATGTTGTTGTACGTTAACTGCTATTCATTTTGGTAACGTGGTATTTATGCTGCAATCTTGCAAAATGCATCTTGACATATAGTTTAGTCATGATTATATAGATGGTTGGTACAGGGTTCTCAAGTTTGATCAAAAGCTTGGAGTGAGATCACATGCGGTTAGGGGAGGAGCCTTAATGGAGCCCCGCCCCCAATTTTACCCATTGTTCATAATAACCAGCACAAATTGAAATTATAGCAGTTGGTAAATCTGTTAAATGACAGAGCAATTCATCACATCAAATATAGGCCTACTCTTTAATGTTATATTTCAAAATACAAATAACAAATTGTTTCAAACAGTTTGGAAAAACAAATCTTTTTGCATTTTCCCCTGACATCTTTGAAAAATACAAATGCAATAGCAATGATTAGGCTATGATTAGTATGTTTTGACAGGATATAAAATATTACCCAGGGCACTCTGCTTTAATACACGTAGCCTTAATGTAACTAGAAAGACTATTAATACAGTATAATATATAATTTAAAATAAAATTAAGAAATACATCTTAATTCCTTCCCATAAAATTTCCCTTAGTTTCAGATAACTAGCCAAACTGAGTCAAAGCTTCTGGCCTGGTTGCAAAGTAGTTGTAGAGTTTTTGACTGCATCAATAATGTATACGAGGGACTATATATGGTCTATATGTTTATATGTTCTAGCCTAAAAATGTTAGGCGAGCTTTCTTCCAACTTACATTCTCCATGACGACGTGTGTTCGCGCGATGTTGCGGTGGCCGAGAATATGTCCGTCAACTTCCGTACGTGTGTTCGCGGACTTCACGCATCTATGTTGCCTAGTCACGACGCAATCTGGCCGAGATACGGACGCGCTGGCGGCAGGAAACTTCACTTTGTGTGCCTGCGCCTCGTATACAACGTTATGTATAAAGCTTGCAGGACAACTTGGTTGGCATTGCCTTTTCAGCGTGAGAAATACACTGTGTGGCGTGTGAGCGTGTGAACTGGTTGAATTGCGTGTGTCTCACGGCCAATGCGTGAGACTTGAGAACCCTGTTGGTATTTAGTAGATGCTTTTGTCCAAAGCGACATACAATATAGTCATCATCAGTGTTTGCGTTTCCCACACATCGACTACTTCGTGGCGGTGCGCCACAGAATCGACAACACTGGCCGCCACATATTGTGGTTTTGGCGGCCGCCAAAGCGGATTTTTATCCCGCCAAAGCCTTATTTGATCGGTCAGTGATGTATAGATGACTGACTGGCTGCGTTTGTGACAGTTCGCAATTGTTTTTAAAGAACGAGCAGAAAGAGAGCCCCTCCTCCGCGCGCGCTCTCTCGCTCTCTCATCGTCTATAAGCTATCTTGCTCTCCCTCCCTCCCTCGCTCGCTCATATTAATCAAAATCAATTGAGAATTGACATGATGATAAAAGGTCGGAAGACAGTAACCTCCACAGGAGTATTAGGTTTTTTGACTTAGAATTAATGAATTAACCAAGAGTATATTGTTACTTTTTATTTTCAGAGAAAGCATGCACATCACCTCAACCAATATCTTCAACTGACAGCACCCACAATCAGGAGGAAGGGAAGCTTGCCTGCTGGTGAGAATGCGTCAGACAGTAAGCAGCTGAAACTAGAGGACACCACAGCCTCACAAAAGAGCATGGACCAGGCAGTCATCAACTTTGTTGTTCAGGGTTTGCATTCCTTCAGAGTTGTGGAGCAACCAGGATATATAAATTTAATACAGCATACTATGCCAAACTACACAGTGATGTCCAGAACAACGGTCAGAGCTAAAATAAAAAAAACAACGGAGGAAATGAAAGCCAAAGTAAGGAGAGCGATGCAGAACATTGAATACATCGCGACTACCACAGACTGCTGGACGGCTTTTCGTCAAAGTTTTATTGGAGTGACCGCCCACTGGATCGAGCCAGACAGCCTAGAGAGATGTTCGGTTGCTCTTGCGTGCAAAAGGCTTAAAGGATCACATATATTTGATGTATTAGCTGGAGCCCTTAATGACATCCATACTGAATACAACATTTGCAAAAAGATTGTCAGGACCACTATTGACAATGCTTCAAATTTCATCAAGGCCTTCAGGGTTTATGGTTGTGACGAAGAAAGTTCGGTTGGGGGGGGAGAGGAAGATGTGAGTGACAGTGAGAATGCTGAAGATCTGGAAGAGGAGATAGAGGGTGTTGAGATACAAGGTGTCATGGATGAAGAGGATGGTGGTTCCGAATATCAGCTCCCAAAGCACCACCGTTGTGCATGTCATCTTCTGAACTTGATCTCAACAGTAGATGCCACAAAAGCCAACTCAAATCAGGTCTACAAAAAAATGTCACGTGCAGCATTTGCTAAGTGCACGGCACTGTGGAACAAGAGTGCTCGCTCCACCTCAGCTGCAGAGGTGATTGAAAGGGAGTGCAAGCTCCAACTTATTCGACCAAATGACACTAGGTGGAACTCCCTCTTTCTTTCAGTGGAACGATTGCTAAGAATCATCCAAGACAGTGGAGAAGGAGCCATCAGAGCAGTTTGCATTGCACTTAAAGTCCCCATGTAAGTGTTATACTGCCAAACACATTGTCTTGCATAAACATACAACATAAAACTTTATGGAATATTAACTAATGTAATATTTAGTAACATTAGCCATCTGTGTATGTTACAAATGTTATTGCCACATGACATTTTGTATGATTTTCTATCGCTGTGTGACAGGTTCAGCCCTGCAGAACTTGCCTTTTTGACTGAATATGTTGCTACCATGAGCCCAATCGCCAAGGCACTGAACATAATGCAGACAGAAGTGAATGTCCATATGGGATGGCTGGTGCCCACTATTACCCTCCTAACTGTGAAGCTTGACCGCCTCCTAACCTCATCCAAGTTCTGCGAGCCACTGATCTTTGCCCTTCAAGAAGGAATACAGCAGCGGTTTGGACCCATGCTTTTGGACCCCGAACTCATTGCTGCTGCAATTTTACTTCCGAAGTTTCGGACTTCCTGGACAAGCAATGAGGACTTGCTGAAACTGGGTAAGTCACTGTCTCTTTAAATTGCAACATGGAAAGCTTGGCAAAGAGCAGCACCTAACAGTAGAATAAAAAATGTGTTGTTACAGTTTTATGCAAAGGTTTTGGTGCCTCTGATCATTTTTAGGCTTTCAGTTTATCATCTGCTGGGCTTTCTAAGCAGCAGCTTGACATATTTCGCACCTTATGTAATTAATGACATTTCAGTTCCAAAATAACATTTATAGAATAAACATTAACAATGTAATGTGCATCACAACAAGTTTCAACAACAGACAGGTGAAAAAGCATAGGTGTCCCAATGGAGTAAACACATCATCAGTATTTAGTGGAACGCCCTTTTTGTGAAATAACACCCTGTAGATTTTTCCACTAACCACAGCTATGTCCCTGATGTATGACTGCAAGTATTTTAAACCATTTCTCCTTACAAAATATCTCCAGATCAGTCAGGTTTGATGGCTGACAAATGTGGGTTATCGGGGGTGCCCAAATGCATAAAACTGTATATTTACTGAGGAGCAAAATAACCATAGCCTAGTCACCCTAATGGTTATATCTGGTTATGGAGATATTGTCTTTTCTTTTTTTCCCTTTATTTGGTCCAATGGACAGGCATGAACTACATCAAGACTCATTTGGAGCAGGAGCCAGTGCAGTCTAACCAGTCAGAGCAGCAAGAGGAAGAGGACGAGGACTACTTTGACATCATGAAAGACAATGTCCAAGAGACCTCTAAGCAGCTGGATGTATACCTGGCCAGCACAGCTACCACCATGGTCGTTCTCAAATCAGTGCCTGCCGTGTACAGATTGTCGCTTAAGGTAAATACACCGTTGCCTGCCTCTGCAGCCTGTGAGAGACTCTTCAGCTCAGCAGGGCAGATTTTTACCCCCAAAAGAGGCAGGCTCGGTTCAGAGAACTTTGAAAACCAACTCCTTTTGAAGCTCAACAAAAAATACTGGTGATGTGGTGAAGTTTTTTAAAAGTGCTCCAAAATGTTCACAGGTTGTTTTGGTTTTTGAGTCTTGATGGAGACTAGAGACGGAGTTGAAATTCTGATGATTTTAAGTTAAGGAAAGTTTTATACTTAATGGATTCTTGAAATTGAAGTCAATAAGTAGAGAATACATGTTTCTGTCAAATTAAAACTGATGCACTGAATCAAAAATGTTTACAGCCTTAAACATATGGTAATTAACAATTTTATTGTTAGAATATTAAAATGGTTAATGTACTGCAATTAACATGAAATATTTGTGTTACAGTTAAATGAATATTTGAAAGATGTATACCCAGTCTTCTTTGTTGGTTTTAATGGTATTTTAATGCTAATTAAGCTAATGGTGTTTAACTCTGCAGATAACCTTGATAGATAACCAGAATTGTAAGTCAGAATGTAAACTGGGCCACAGATGGTAAGCACAATTACAATGCCACAGCCCATACTGTTCTTTTGTAATTATTATAATATAGACATTAAGATAATAAATTGTTATGCAAGTACTTTTAGTTTTAATACTTAAAGTACATTTAAAATCGGGTACTTTTTACTTTTTACTTAAGTAAGGTTGTCATTGTGGTACTTTTACTTTTACTAAAGTAAATTTGTCACTGGTTATTAGTACTATTACTTCAGTACTGAGATTCAGTACTTCCTCCACCACTGACTTTAGCATGGGTGTGTTCACTTATTCTAAGCACTGTGTGTGTGTGTGTGTGTGTGTGTATGTGTATATATATAATTAAATCGCAATTTTAACCAGAAAAATCTACAATGCATGCCCAAAGTCGTGCAGCCATATAGTTTCTCTTGATATCAGCATGTTCAAAGGTGTTTTTTTATTTTATTTTATTTTATTTTTTACAGGGACGATATGCCACTGATAAGTCCTGCTGACTTCAACATTCAACAGTCTCTGTACATGAACATGGTAAAATGAAAAATCAAACACTGTGGAAATGACAGGTATGTACTATGTTTCAGGAATGGGACAATGTTGTGTGACTGTTCAAGCCTCTGTCTTTAGATCAGTGTGTTTACTAATGTGCTTTTTTGTCCTTTGTTGTGTGTCTTTGGATTATGTTGTGTTGTAAATAAATCCAAACAATCTAAAAGCCATTCTTTTTTAAATCTCCTCATTCTTTGTGCAAGGCTCCTCATAATACTAGGGCCTGATAGCACCTAATAGGGCCATTATGGGAGGGTCTTTGTCTTTCTCAGGTGTGAAATTCCATACATATTAACGAGAGATCACGCCTCCTCGCATAAAGCTTTCTCACACTAAACACGTCATACACATTCTAAAAGATCTGAATGAGTAGTCAGGATGATTCTCACATAGTTTTGGAGCAAATATTCTAGGCTATGTGATACAATTTTCAAAAGTCTTGTGAAGAAATAATCAATATGTGTTTTGTGGCCTTATTTCAGAAACTTTAATTTTTCGTTTTTTCAATAACCATGCATAAACAATATTCTCTCAAAAATACAAATATGTTGCTCACATATTATGGTAGCCCTGTTTGTGCTAAATAGAGTGTAATTACACCTGTGCCAGTAATTTGTTTATAAGCAACTGAAAAAGCACAAATGTCAGGGCATGTCAAAACATCTCAAGGACCCCAAAAACACCTTAGACCCCAGAGGGTTAAAGGAGCTGTAGTTGGAATCATTTCGTTCGGCAGAGTGAAGGCTTCGGCTGGCATAAGCTATAACTCGCTCCACTCCCTGCTGCCACTGGGCCAACACTGCTCCTAGGCTGAGGTTACTGGCATCGGTGGACAGGACGAAGGGCTGGGTGAAATCCGCATACGCCAGGATTGGAGCCTGTAACAGCTCTTGCTTGAGTCACTGAAAGGCCACGTCGCATGCGGAGTCCCAAGCGACAGGAGGGGACCCCCGGGCACGGGGACGGCCTGAGCCCGCAAGGAGCCGATTTAGCGGTTTGGCGATCTTCGAGAAGTTTTTGATGAAACGCTGGTAATACCCTACTATGCCCAAGATGGATCTCACTTGTCGCACTGTTTTGGGCCGATCCCATCCTTGGACAACCGACACCTTTCAGGATCCACAAAGACTCCAGAGGCGCCTACGCAGTGGCCCAGAAATTTCACCTCTTTTCGGAACAGTTGGCATTTGTCTGGTTGTAACTTCCATTGCCTGAAACATCTGTTCCAGATGTTGGAGATGGGATTCAAAGTCTGGAGAGTAAACGATGACATCGTCTAGGTACACTAACGTGGTGTCCACTAACTGGCCACCCAGACACCGCTGCATCAGCCGCTGGAATGTGGCTGGGGCATTACAAAGGCTGAACGGCATCCGGTCCCATTCAAAGAGCTTAAAGGGGGTAGTGAACGCAGTCTTTTCCCGATCCCCCTCCTCCAACTGCACCTGCCAGTACCCGCTGGCAAGATCTAATGTGGAATACCAGGTGGCCCGAGTCAGGCTGGTGAGAGAGTCCTCAATCCGCGGCAGCGGGAAGGCGTCCTTCTTGGTTACTTGGTTCAATTTACGGTAGTCCACACAGAACCTCCAGGCTCCGGTCTTCTTTCGTACCAGGACGATCGGGGCTGCCCAAGGGCTACTGCTCTCCAGAGTAATCCCCTTCTCCAACATCCCCCCCAACAGGGTACAAACCTCCGAATAGAGAGTTGGCGGCACCGGACGATACCACTCCCGGCTTGGTGCGGCATCACCGGTAGGAATCTGATGTTTCACAACGTCGGTACGGCCATAATCCTCGTCATGTGTGGAAAATACATGCTGCCATTTCGCCAGGAAATCCTGCAGCTGTTGTGCCTGACTCTTTTCCAGCCCCTCTCCTCGCAGTGATTCTCCCAGAAGATGTGCCAGCATCCCCTCTCCAGAAAGGTTCACAGGCTGATCCACTCGCTCCAGGGCCACCTCGACCACCTTAGAGCTCACTTGACAGAATCTAACCCCCCCCACCTTCTCTCACTTGTTGGGGGCTCACCGAGGTAACTCGGGCCAGACGTTGATGGCGGTACAGGTTGACGGGATAGGGATTTACACTTCGTACTCTCACAGAGACTCAGCCCCGACGGGCCACGGCTAGTCCTCGAGCCACCTACGCTCTGACAGTCCCAATGGGGCTCGACGAGGACCCAGTCCTCTGGTCCATAAGTCCGAGTGGGCAACCGGGCCCAAAAAACAGCCTCACTCCGGGCCGGAATAGAAAGGGCATATGGACAAGCCACCCGGCCGGTATCTTCACGGTTCCTTTGGGAACTGGCCGTGTGGATCCGGCTACAATCGGCCACGATGCGTTCCCACTCCCGTTTCTCGGCTGGCGGAGCAGCTCGAATGGGCCTAGCCTGAAACAGTTCCTCCTAACAATCCGTAATAACATTCATGCCCAGAAGGGCTCGATGCGTCCCCAAGCAAGGGTCTCGGACAATCACGACCCCCTTCAGCGGTACGGTTACCCCATGGATCTCAAAGTCTGCGACCAGGTATCCAGTGTAAGGGATGTCCAGACCGTTTGCCCCTCGCAGAGTAAGCCAAGGAACCTCTGCCTCTTGCAAGCGTTGGGCGTTTAACAGTTCTTTAGACAGACTCTCGGAGAATAGGGTAACTTGGGACCCGGTATCCACTAGGCACCGGACCTTGATGCCATTCACCTGAATTTCCACAAGGGGGCAATGCCCGACCAAACTGTCTCTAGGGACAGTAGACAAAGAAGGGTCCATCCAGGGGGTCCCGACCACTTAACCCACAGTGGCCGGTAACTCTTAAAACTCCCCTGTGAACCGCGGCGAGAGCCGCACTGGCGACTATAATGTCCAGGTTCTCCACAGCCATTACAAATCGAGCGACCCTGTTCGTCCCACTGGGATTTAGGGCCAGCAGGTCGGAATGGGTGTCTCGACTCCCCGGTTCTTCCTGGGTCTCGACTCCCGTCCGATAGGGATGTGACGGTGAGGATATTTTCACACCAGTTAATCGACGTGTGACGACACCGGTAATACCGGTATCACCGGCGGGGGCTTTTAAATCGCTAATTTAAAGGCAAATGTAAAATCCACGCGTTTGCACGGGCATGCATAATGGTGGTCGTGCGGAGCAACACTGTTTTGTTATTGCGCGCTGAATTGCCGCTAATTTTAAAAAACGAAAAAAAAAATTTTTTACATCGCTTATAAAAAGCTGGTGCAGCAGTGTGCACTTCATTTTCACTTTTAAATTAGCGTCAATTCATCCTTCGCAGGGAGTTTGATGCGATCTGACAAATCAAAATCCACCATTTTTGTCTGGCAAAGCAGTCAGGAAAGTTAGTAGATTAACAGCAGTGGATTTGTACTTGGCTTTAACTGAGGCAATCTCTCACGACACATTAGAGCCACAAAACGGTAGGCCTATTTATTGTTTCATTTTCTTTGACTGACCAAATTTGAAAGTTGAGACTTTAAATTTCATATTAAATATTACCTGCTCTGTCCTGTCTGTCAGTGCGTTGTCAGTGTCCTTATAGGCTACGTGAGTTGCAAGTATAAAATGAAGTTAACGAACAACCTCGATCCATCAGGAAACGCCATTGGTCGCTGAATATCACTGCGCTTCATGAAGAGTTTATCTTTTGCGTGAAGAAGCCATTCGCCGGAGATGTGTTAAAAGATAGCGGAGTGCATTCATGATTATTAGGCTACCGGTTTAATAATCCTCCTGGCTCCGGGTCTGAGTGAGACATTTACTCTCTTACTTTTGTTCTTTGATTAACATTAATGACACTTTAAGACCACCTGCTGCTGCTGAGAGACTCGATCGACACGCGTCCTATTTTCTCACAAATCTCTACGTTAATTTAAGACTTTATTTAAACCATTTAAGACTGCTCTTATGAGGACACTCGACAAAACGGACATTTTGGCATAATTTGTGTGTGTTAGAGTTTGTTCAAGCCCGAAAGAGAACTCGCGCGCGCTCGTGTGTATGTGTTGGCAGGACAGCGCGGTCTCTTTAGTCTTGTCGTGCTTAAAAGCATTCACATTAATAACTAATAATTAATAGCGTGATCATACAACGCTAGTC